CTAGGTAAATGAATCCCTTTCTCCTACAGCTTAGAGATTCACAAAAGGGGGCGAGAGTGGAGAATCTTTCAAATGTGAATATATACCTCTTCAGGATGTAGCTAAGGGAAAATGCTGCAAAACCTGAGAAGCTTTCTTTCCCATGTTGATCCCTGGAGAGCGCACATTCCCTTCCTAATAAAGAAGGGTGAGCAAATGCAGTGCGGTGGATACAGCTGATTGATAGATCATTTTAGCATCAGGCCTGTTACAGAACCTGCCCCAATACTGTGAGTTCTCATCTGATTAATACTGCTATGTCCCTGGTTCTTGCCTCACCGAGTTGACAACTGGTTAGCACACCTTGGACGCTGAGCAAGAATAAAACACTAACAGCAGCCTGGTAGTCTGCAGCTGCAGAATAATACTGAAAGAAGTTAAAGTACTCTAGTGATGGCTTTTTGGTCCATTTTATGTGATTCCATGTAGCCAACCACAAACAAGCATCCCCAAAAGGCAGCTTCTAGATACATTCCTTTTCTGTGGTTTATACCCATGCCCATACTGAATGATGCTGGAGAAGGATGAGCACAGACCATAGCCAGCAAATGCTCCCCAGGTATCATTCTGTGCAACTGAACCCAAGAAGCAGTAGCCCTCCTCCCCAGGCACACAAGACACCTAGCCTCCTAATCACCCCATTCCTGTCTACATGATGTTAAATCCAATTATTTTAGTTATGAATGACCCTTCAGGTGGATCCGTGATAACAGCAGATGAGATTTAATAGCTTAAAGTCTATGAGACATCTACTTAGAGAGTGGGCTTAGAGGGGGAGGGTGTGTCAGGGTGAAAGGACCAACCTTGGGCAAAGAACTTTCATAGGAATCATCTGACAGGCAAGAATGATGAAAATAGTGCAGTGTCCAGCACAAACAGCTTCTTCTGATGCAGCCCAGGATACGGTTGGCTTTCCGGGCTGAGAGCGCATGCTGATGCTGTCTCATGTGGAACTTCTCATTGACAGACATCCCCAAGTCCTTCTCCTCAGGGCTGCTCTCAATCACTTCTCCGATCCAGGTGTAGGACCTTGCACTTTGCTTTGCTGAACTTCATGAGACTGGCATTTACCCACCTCTTAAGTCCCTCTGGATCCTATCCCTTCCCTCCAGTGTATCAACTGAAGCACACAGATCAGTGTCATCAGCAAACTCTAAGGGCTCACTCAATCCCACTGTCCATGTCACTGACAAAGATGTTGAACAGGATCAATCCCAACACTGGCCCCCGAGGGACATCACTTGTTACTGATCTCCACTTGGACGTTTTGCGATCAAATCAATGTCTCTCCAGTTTAGAGGCAAGGATGTCGGGCGGGACAGTGTCAAATGCTTTGCAGAAGTCCAGGCACATGATGCCAACTGCTTTGCCCCTCTCCATCAGTTCTGTAGCCTCACCATAGAAGGCCACCAAACTGGTCAGGCAGGATTTCCCCTTAGTGAAGCCATGCTGGCTGTCACCAACCACCTCGTTCCTTTTCATGTGTCCTAGCATGGTTTGCAGGAGAATCTGCTCCATGATTGCACCAGGCATCTCTGTTGTCTTGTCATATCTTCTCTAGTCTGTATCTGTAAGCCTGAGCAAACGTATCTGACTGCAACTATCCTATCTATTTACTAAGTACACCTTCCCATGAATACAGATAGCTGCTCTTTCAACTCTTTGTGTGTTTTATTATTTTCCTCATATTTCTGCAGAATAAGCGATTGCTAAGATCTCCATGACACAGGTGAGAAATTCCTCCAAGTATCACCAGAAATTAAGTCACATATACCCTATTTCTGGTCAAATGACCATTACATTGACATCATATTTCAGGTATACTTCTGTAGGATGATTAACTTACATGAGAATAAAAGAGAAGTGAGTTTCATCTTACGGAAATTAGTTTTATATAACTGCAAAAATAAAGCATGGTTTCCAAGGAAAATTTAGTGTCAAGTACCACCAGCAATTTAGGAGGTCTGATGGTGCACAATCACTGTAATTAATTACCATCATTTTACATAATTGGTTCTAATTAGCTGATGCCTTTCCACTAAGAATATATCTGAAGCATCTTCAGACTGCATATGCATAACAAATTTTGTACCCAAATGCTCAAAGTTAGCAGCCAGTATATAGGATATTTGTGGGGTAGGGAAGACATAATCCAGCTGAACTTGCTATTTAATCCCTAAAAATGGCAGAAAATAAGGCACTGGCTTGGGGACTTGGGTCACATAACTGCAAACAAAATACAGCACTAAATACGATGAAGGATGAGTGTAAGCTGCTGTCCTGCGGTTCAGGGGGCTTTTACCTGGAGCTTACGATTAGTGGCACAACTTAGCATGTGGCATGGAAGCTAATACTCCACCAACTCTGTGAGGAGGATGATGGCAAATGTCTTCCATGAAGAGTCTTAGGAATACCTCCATATGGTTCATCACAGAGTCTCACTTTGAAATTGAAAGATTGACCCATTTTTGCATGCTTTGGAGAGGACAGGTTGGAGGGATGTGCTTGTGGATTTGTGCAGGTTGCGGTGTGTGGAGAAGTATTTCTTACGCTGAGAAGTTGATTTCCTCCTCTCTCTGAAAAACCATTTCACAGTGTAACAAGTGACTCCTTTAAGTAATAAGACAGACTATCTTATAAGCCCTGCCAAATTTCACCACATAAGAATTGTTTTATTCACTGAACACCTTTCTTAGAATCACTAAAGATAAACCAACCTTCTATACTTCTTTGTATCTTCACAAAAGCTTTAAAATGTGTAGACTGCTACCTGCAGGGAACAACGATTATTAATGAAGCAGCTGGATTTCTTTTTAAATAGGTTACTTTGCAGCCATTTCCTCTGCTAATTATTAACAGAAACGCTGATGCTGTATCTACAGTGCTTTGGAATGCTGAATATTATCTGAAGTCCTTTAAAATAGCATTTCAGAAGAATAAACCATATCTGAAGTATGAATTAAAACTGGAAAATAATATACATGGAAACCAGCTGTAGAAACGATTAGCTCACGTTTCCCCCCGAGCAGTTTTGCCTACAAATATATCTCACGCAATGTGAGAAGCATTGCTTTGCAGTAACATCATAATTTTGCTGATGTCAGTTTCTATTACAGTATCCTCATAAGTAGTAACTATTCTGATGAATATATGCATGTGAAGAAAAACCGGAATGCAGGCATCATACCAGAGCAATTCAGAGAAACGTAATTCTCTCCCAGGTTGGATGAGGCCTTGGGTGACGTGGTTTAGTGTGAGGTGTTCCTGCCCATGGCGGGGGGGTTGGAACTTGATGATCTTAAGGTCCTTTCCATCCCTAACTATTCTATGATTCTATGAATTATTTCAGTATTTGCTTTTATTCTCTTCTACAAAATTCTGCATGCACACACACACACACACACACATGCAGAGAGCAGAGGTTCAGACCCAGACAAGTCTTCCTGGGACACTGCTGAAAAATCACAGCCCAGGGAAGCCCCAGGTACTCATATCAGTGGCAGTCTGTCTGCTGCAGATGGTTAGAGAGATGAGCCAGAAAGGCAAGGGGGGTGATTTTTAAAACCTACCCACTTTCTAAGAAGAACTTGATGATATCAAACTCTCCAGAAAAATAACTTGATTTTGAGTTACCAGCAAGTTCTTACCAGAATCTGTGGTGCTGGTGTGTTTCTAACAACATAGCATGTGTCTATTATGTGTCTTGAAAAAGGAAAGTAAAAAATTATTTGGGACAGTTGGTGAAAAGGACAAGATGAAATATTAGAGAAACAATACTACAGAATAATCAAAACAAAAGGAATGGAAAAAAAATGTCTAGAAAGATCAGAGATAATAGGTCTGATGTACTTTCAGGGTAGCATCCTCTGTTTCAGATACTCTTTTCTCAACCTGCTGTTAAACAGGTACTCTCTGTATGATTTTCTCTCCCTCTCTCAGATTTAGGTCTTTTTTCTAAAGTGTTGGCTGTTTTTAGCTCCTCTTGCTTATTCGCGCTTTCCTCTAAGCAGCCCCATCTTCCTGCTACCAAAGCATCCTTGAGTCACCACCATCTATATTCATGCAAATATTGCCACAGCTCCCTGTTGAACACCTCTCCTTTGCCCTTGGAACACCCTTTCAAACAAGTTCACAAAACCATGGTCCCTCTACCTGCTGCCCCAACCGCACCCACAACCCCAGCTTTGCCATTCTGCAAGATGGCAGTGGCAAGACAGAAGGCTAGTAAGGGCTGATGTTTACTTTTTAAGACTAATTTGACTATCAAGTTATTCACACAGGGTCTTAATGTCACTGGGCCTCTGGAGCATTTCCAGGGGTTCTGTTAACAAAGACTATTGTAGGCTAAGTTTAACTTAGTTTAACTAAGGGGGATCATCCTTTTGTTCTATGTTTCTAAGAAAAAATAAATACAACTGCAGCAACCTATTATTCATGCTTCCTGTAGACCCTCTTTAATATATATTAATGACCTCTGGGGGTTAATTAATGCCAGAACATTTCACCCATGAACTGCTTTCTGATTCAATTTGTTACATGCAAGTAACCATATATAATTATAAATCAATTACTGTATCTGTTCTACACTTCACCAACCTAAAAAAATCATACCAAAGTATTTTTGAAGGTGATTGAGCAAAATGAGCTGCTTCCATAAGGCCTGGTGTTTGTGCTTTGATTTATCTTTTCCTTCACAAAAACACTATTTGAAACACATTTCTCTAAACATGGGAACTACTTTTGTAGAAGAAATCAATTATATTCTTAAGCTTAAATCTTCCTTTTCCAGCCATGCTCTAACGTATAACTCTACCTTAGAAATGTACCCTGGGGAAAATGCTTCTATTCTTTGCTAAAAATCCATGAATAACATTATATAAAAATTAATTTATGATAAATGATTTAAAATCTTAACCTAGAATGGTGTCTTATTCAAATGTCATCAGAAAATGGCACCTCACCCGCAGAAAGGAGTCAAGGGATCCATTCTCCATGTATTCAACTACAATCATTACTGGTCTGCCTGCAAAACAGCAAAGAAACGCATTAGGATTATAAATATATTATGGGGCTTTTATAAATCCAGCTGTTGTAAACAGATTATTCACAGTAGTTAAATATGTTACGTATTTTCAAAATCCTCATTTATATCACAAGCACAATTCCCTATTTATTCTCTAAGAATTATTTTTCTATCTTTTTTGTTTTGGTACTGGATTAGCTGAACGTGCATCATTCACTCCGGTGTTTTTCCCCTTCCCATGGATCAAAGAAGAGCCTGCTGTTTCCAAATAGCAACACTTGCTGCATAGGTGTGTGTAACACTTCAGAACATATTTGAGTTAAAGCAAAAAAACCCCATATTCATAAGCCATGTCCTAGAAATTATAAACTCTGTGCTGTAATTTTCCTCTCTGAGAAAAATATCTCGATGATTTAGGGGCCTACAGATAGACAGATTGAAGGGCATGAGACAGAAAAAGCTTTCCTAGATTGGGTGTGTGTGTTGGGAGAGTATAATCTAGCAAAACTCTGAATTCATGTTTGTACATATATAACATACACAATGTTATTCAAATCATAGTTCTGCTCAACAGCATTCCTGTATGGTTCCAGGTGGGATGATATTCAAATTTAAGTAGAATAACATGTTACATTTATTTCTGAAAAGAATATCCAAATCTGAAGATGAACTTTTAAATTGGCTACTTAATCACATATAATTTCACTGTGATACCCAGGAACAAACTACCACCCTAGAACTGCTTGATGGGAAAGGACCAAAAAGCATGCTAATCAGGCTATGCAGCAGGTAGACTGTTAGAATTGTTACTATTACAAACGATCCATTCCAGTATAGGCAAAACTAAGGTGATGAACAAGATGATAGAATGATTAGGAAGCAGGTAAAGAGTCTTAAAATGGCAACCTTTTCTTTCCCAAGAATGCCTGTCTTCTGGGGTTTGTGGGAAACCAGGAGTGTGCCAATTTATGACACCACAAACTGCCCATTTCTCTTTCTCGATACAACACTAACTGTTCCAATGTGTTTCAAATCCAAAAGAAGCCTCTTTCATTACTTTTTTTCTCTGTGCTTCTCAAGTTATGTTTGTGTTTTGTTTGGAAAAGAAGATAAGAAACATGGTATTTATGGTGAGAAAGCATGGAAGGGCATTATGATTCTTCCAGCACAACTGTCCACTTCTGTGCATGCTAACTTTCTGTTCAGCTTGGCGAATAGTGGAGGTGCTTATTAAACTGTCCACTATATACAAGAAGCCACAGCTGGGTATTTATTTCTCGTGAGGTCTTAGAGCCAACCTTAAATTTAAAGGAGTGAATGAGCCATTTCTGTGTCCCAAAATGTGGACTTGGAGTTCCAGACACCCTGTTGATGCTCATTCCCATAGCGTAGTCGAGTTTTTCTGGGGTTCCTCACAATAATCTTTTATTTCTTCTAGTAAAATTTGGGCTTCATTCTGTACTCACCCTTACGTTTAGGTCCTCAGTGAATACAACAGTGTTTCATAATGCTGGCACGGTAGTGCATGCTTTTTCTGTGTGAAAATTCTCAGATGCCTTAACATCTTTGGATTGCCTTTCTCACATGTGAAGAATTACTAGCTTCTTTTTCTTTAACTGAATGCTTGATCTCAGCTGCAGATATACCTCTGCCACCAAATCAATTTATATTCATCTGCACCGACTGGTTATACCCTGGTTTTGCATTATAAGCTTAATACATCAGTTTTAAGCTCTTAGACATCACAGCATTTTAAAAATTGATGTTTTCTTTATTCAGCTTGCTAATGATGACATTATGTAGCCTAGCCTCTTTAGTTCCAAGCACATGAATGTCCTACATTCCTTTACTTTCTTACTGTCAAGGGGCTGACATCTCCACGTGAAAGGGATATTCCATAATCTAGAGAAGTAAACAAGCCACAGCCTGATGCTACAGGATCTTACTTACTATATGCTGAACTCTCTCAAACAAGTAGCAATGTCTAAATTGCAGCAGACAACAGCATCTTGCAATAAATCATTCTGGGTAAATCAACAACTAAAACACTTTTGTGGAAGATCTGCATTTGAAGGGAATGACAAATAGAGCTGTTGAGCTTCAAAACAATGCCCCTAGTTTCCTGTTTGTAATCCTTTGGTGCCCTACACTTTCTGGAAGCTATTTTGTAAGGGTTTTTTGAGGTACAGAGGCTCTCATTGTATCTTTTATGCTCCTTAGATTCATATCCTTCAACACAAATTATTTTCACATTTACTTTGTAAAAGTGATTTTTAATTCTTGTACATGCTCTCACAAAATATTCCCCTATCCAAAAAAACCCCAACAAACTGTACTTCATTTTGCTCAGAACATCAGCATGAGCTTCTAGGCTAAAGTAACTATGAAATGTACCTGTATTAATTTTTCTGTGGATTTAGGAAAGAGATTTCAGTATGTTTCATTGGATAATATTAATGAGCTTCTAAACTGCTTGATGTGTTCCTTCAAGCACTTGAAATGATAAGCCTTAACACAAAACCCGCTCTTGTACATGATAGTACAGGAATAGCATGATCTGCTAAACACACCAAAATAAGTAGCATTTGTCTTCAAACAGGCTGCTGTATGCTGGAGATCATTATGTATTTGTGAATTTTGGTGAGCTATAAATTTACTCACTTTGGCTGATTGCTTCCCACAGAGTCAGTCTGCATCACTTGCCATCCTACCTAAATCTCAACTGAACTTGATGCAAGATTGTGTCAAGACACCACAAAAATGAACTCAGCTCCATCACTTGATTAATCTGAAGCAAAAATATTACATCTGGATCCTAGCACTAACTTCTCAAATAATCTTTTAGTGTGCCAGCACTTGATAAAAGTCACCCTATTTTGGCTGCAAGTTTGATGTATCACTGAAGATATTCATGTATTCCAAGCTGGATTGTGACAGGCAATACAGTGAAACTTCTAGTCAGCACAGTATTTGTCTTTGGAGTACCTGCAGATCAAAAATACCTCTATTTTGTTTCAGTTGTTTGAAGGTATAGCAAAAATCTGCTACACAGCAGATTGTAGTGGGTACATTTATCATCAAAGCGGTAACACACAGGTTCTATTCCTGGCAAACAATTCTTTTCCAATAATTTTATCGGTTTGCAAATTTCATACAAGGATGTCTCAACATTTGACAACTATAAGTACCTCAAGCATCAGGAAAAGTCAGATAGGAAACATCTTGATTTCAGAGGTGTGGTAGGAAGCACAGGTTCAGGAAATCAAGTGGGCCTCTCCATCTAGTCAGTATAGTATACCCAACAAGGCTGTGTTTGGTTGCCAATACACAATGCTGTATTTTCTTCCCTAGATCAGTACCCCGGAGAGGCACGTGAGTGATTCCGTCATGCGTTCGCATTGTATGAACAGACTCTGCACAAACAGCTGAAGGAATGGGAGGAATTGGCTCTGGAGAAGCTGATGAGATGTGAAGATGAGCAGCTGACTCTGGCACATCCAAGGGTGTAATCCAACACTGGGCATCTCAGTCCAGAGACCAAGCCATCAGTCCTAAGGACATGCAGTGGGACAGATCAGACTGCAATCTGGAATACTTAATCACCAAAGAGTCAGAGGGCAGCAGCCAACCCAGGGCCTGTGTTGAACAAAGTTCTTGGTAAGACAAAAGGCTATGGATGACGTTAGTTGATGTTATTTCATTTGAGCTGTAAAAAGCAGTCCAGAAAAGATTAAGGTCTGTGCTGAACCCTGTACAGAGACAGAATACTGCTTTTGCTTTAAAGAGGACAACAAAATTGAGTTTGAAAAATAATACTGGGAGATTTCTAAACTAGCATAGTGTTTGCCTCTAGACAAAGAAAAAAGACTATCACTTAGATTATGACAATCCTTGTTGCTCTCATGGTATTAAAAAAAGATGAATTCTTCATCCTCAAAGCAAGGGCAGGAATGAATAAAGGCGAGGGTCAGAGAAGTTGCTGAAATGGAGAAGCAATCTTCTATTATTTTATCATGGGGTAGGCTAATGCAATTCTGGAAGGCATCAAATTATTTTCATATATTTATGGTTGCTTACATGTATAAAACATGGACATCTTTACTTGAAGAAATGGGTTTAAGGACATACAGCAGTGTGAAGCAGTACAGATGGAAGTCTGGAAAGCACTCAGGGCTCAGAAGGGTGACACAGGCTGCAGCACAGAGACAGTGATGCCAGTGCTGAGTAAGCCTGCTACGTAAGCACATAAGCACCTGCAAGAGCTCACATGTAGCCCCAGGGAACAAGACAGCATGGACCAAAAGACAACTCCTGTGACTGATGATGAGTCCCATCTGCAGCATGTGGGCACCTCACCAGATAGGTGAACACCCAGTCTCTACAGACCTGAGCAGCTGAGTGTTTTCACACAGATACAGGCATAGGCACTGGAGAAGGACCTGAGAAAGAGCTCAGTTAATTTTACAGTCAAAGTCCACATAAGAGAAGGCATGGAAAAAGAACACTGAAAAAGGTGCAATCTTGGGCTGAGGACTTGGAATAAAAGACAGATGTCAAGAGCATCTAGGAGCTAAAAACTGTGGGTGCTGCTGGAGGAGAGCATAGAACTTCATGTTCAAACTGGGGAAGGATAAAGTAAAAAAAGTCTGAAGATAGATGGATGCAATGACCGAATCAGTTAAACAAATCATTCTTGTAGCAGTTCTGGATACCTGGAGTAAGAAATACTACGAGAAAATAGACTTTTAAAGTATAAGAATTATATAGTGTTTTGAGGCAACAGGTCTTAACCCCAAATATGGATTTTACACACTATGTGTATATCACATTTAGTGTTTGAAGCACCTTAGGGTAACAAAATTATCACTTTACTACATACTTAAGATAACAATATGAAATTATAATTGTATTTCTACATGACATATACTGATACCATAGCCACATTCGCTGTTTCATCATACTTCCTGTGAAACTGTAAATATTGCCAGCTCAGAAATGTG